TAACAGAGCAAACAGGTCTGCTTCTATTAAAATTTAAAAAGCATTAATATTTAGCAGCATTGTTTTATGCTGTATTCATTTAGATGACAAGTGACACTTGTTTTCCATTTACAGTCGAGATATTTTCTGTAAAAGTAACATTAAATATTGATTCAATTCAAAGAATACATTCATTAATCATACGGATGACATCTGGCTAGGTGACGCATCATGATGGTGGCAGGGAGTGACTGAAGTTGAGCTGGTGCACAGACCGCTGGTTTTACAACCCGGGAAGCATTTCCTGACCACCCGCTTCTCCACGCTGCCCGCCCCGTCACACGTACCCTTACCCCGGCGTTATCCCATCTGCCCCAAGACACTGACGTTCTAGCAGGCGGAAGCCTCCACTTTTAGTTGACTATTATAGTATCTCTAGCATTTCACACATAGTAGGTGCCCAATGAGTGTTTGTCGAATGAATGAATGAAAGAAGTGAGGCTGAGGGTAGCCGAGACATTTGCTCTGAAAAAATCACCCCCATTCTCCCAATATTTCAAATACATTTCCATTCAGTCCACAGTGAGAAATGCTCGCTATACCAATAAATAATATCTTTATCTATTTTTAAAAGTGTTTCATTGACAAAGACTGTCTGTGTTCCAGGTGTACGTCTTGATGACTGGATGTAGGTACCCACTGTGTAAAGACTGTCACGCACGGCTGAGTGTGGTGGCTCAAGCCTGTGTTCCCAGCACTTTGGGAGGCCAAGGCGGGTGGATCACTTGAGGTCAGGAGTTTGAGACCAGCCTGGCCAACATGGTGAAACCCCGTCTCCATTAAAAATATAAAAATTAGCTGGGTGTGGTGGCAGGTGCCTGTAATCCCAGCTACTCAGGAGGCTGAGGCACGAGAATTGCTTGAACCTGGGAGGTGGAGGTTGCAGTGAGCTGAGATCGTGACACCGCACTCCAGTCTGGGCAACAGGGTGAGACCTGGTCTCAAAAAGAAAAAAAGTCTGTCCCAGTCAGGTGAATTAATACATCTGTCATTGCCCATGCTGAACACGAGGCCCGCAGAACCTGCTCTGCGTGTAACTGAAACTCTGTACCCTTATTAAATCTAAGGAAAGAGGCTTTTAAGAGGAATTTGTGATTTTTAGTTTGGTGAGAGAAAAGGTGGTTTGCCAAGTGACAAGACTGAAGTTTGCTATAGTGATGATAAAAATCCCGTCTTGTGGAAGCTTTACCTCAGCTTCTCTATAAGTGAAATTTATAGCCCCAGGCCTGCTGGATGCAGGGCTCAGCACCTCCCCTATCCCCAGGGAGGGCCATCTGCCTGCCGGCATTCTCCACTGAGGACTGGAGGTAAAGCCGCGTGTCCCCCAGGAGAAGGCACCCGCCAGGTGGAGTTTCTAAGGCCATGTTCTCTGTCAGCAGAGGTAAGGGCAGACCTGGACCTTGGTCTCAGCCCTGTTGTTTACTTGCTGAGTGCCTTCGGCCAGTCACTAGACATCTCCCTGAAATGCTGGCGACCTTTGCTTAGAACACTATTCCAGGAATGGAGAGTCGGCTGACCTCAAGCATCTGGTGAACGCCAGACGCCTCCTTCCGTCTCAGGAGTTGACCCCTAGCTCGCTGCTGGGGTTGAACAAAGTGAGACTGTTCTGTGGTGCAGGAAGTCCCTCGCCAGGGGCCTTGGGAGGGCCTCGTTAGAAACAACCTCACCTTTTTCATCCATTTAAACCCAGTTCGCTTTCATGCCTTCCACTTGGAGCCTGGTTGGAAGCGTTAGGCCTGGTGCAGCTGAGAGGCTGGTGTTACAGATTGCCCAGCTGAGGCCCTTCCCATCCTCCCTCCCGCGGGCTCGGGGCCAGAAACCTTCCATCTGCAGTGCCATGCAGCCTCCCTCAGCAGGCCAGGAACTGACCGTGATGCCCACGCATACACATCTTCATCTAGGTTAGTCACTGAAGCCAGATTTTTTTAAGATAAATACGTCACAGAATGCTATTGAATACTTTTGTCTTGCCACACCCCCGCAAAATAAACTGTTCCCAATCGACACCATGTAGCAAAAACACAGTATCTTTATGGATGTATTGCATTCATAAATCTGAGCGCATGACAGCGTGTAGTTTGAGTTGTCGAAGGTTTGCTTTGAATACCGTTACCACGAGACGGGGTGCTTTCTCTGTGAGTGGAAATCGGCGGCTGCTGCTGGCACCATCACTGCGAGAGTCCACCCGGCCTGTCGCCGTCTCCAAGCTGGCATGTTACCAGGTAGCCGCTTCATTTAGACACTTTTTTTGTTGAAGCCTTTACGCTGTCCGCAGCCTCCGCCCAGTGCCCCTACTATCTGCACAATCTTCATCTCGTGCTGAGGCCGAGGTGGGCCTGGAGCGAGCACACAGTCTGCGGTGCGGCGGCTCCACCTCCTGCCAGGCCAGGCTGTCTGCCAGTGTCTGCGCGTGTGTGTTAGACAACGTGGCATGTTTTAAAAACCGAAGTGCCTTTTTATGGTGCATATACACCCCACCTTACCACTATCCCCCTGCCCCTCTGACACAATGCTGGATCCGGTGTACACCTGGTGTGCACTGATCCTCACTGTCACCAGAGTTTGCAGCCTTTGTCCAGCCAATAAGTTGGAGAAGCTGAGGGTGCCCAGAAATGGACATTCTGCCCACGTATTTTGTAAGCCCCAGTGGGTTTTCTGTCTTGTCCAGAGCTCAGGTGTTTCTGTACCTGTTGGAGCCGAGAGACCTGCGCTGATCCTGTCTCTGCCACTTCAACAGAGAGGGTGGGTATATCCTCTCCCAGCCTCACTTTCCAGAACGAGTAACACACCCCGTGCCCATCTCTGGGCCTGTGAACCCCGAGAGTCAGCAAAGCAGGGAAAGGGTTGGCAAGCTCAATCTGGCCTCCTCTAGGATGCGGAAGGAGCCATCCACTCAGTAGCCCCTTTGCTTGGCCCCCAGCCGCACTGTTGCCATGGAGACGAGTACCACACGGAGAGCAGCCGGGGGTCTGACCTCTCAGACATCATGGAGGAGGACGAGGAGGAGCTGTATTCTGAAATGCAGCTGGAAGATGGGGGAAGGAGGCGTCCCAGCGGCACGTCCCACAATGCCCTCAAGGTGAGTGGCCGGGGAAGGGGGACCCTGCACTCCGTCCCCAGAGTAGTTCCATCCACGTCCCTTTGCTGGGGCTGGTGAGGCAGGCTCCAGAGGGGCCTTGCCCTACAACCAGTAGCCCTCGGATTTGGATTCGCTTCTTTCTCACTATTGAATCTGCATTCGGGAATTACCTACACTCTGGTCTTGCTCTTGGCCAAAAGGTCTGGGTAAAGGAGTTTAGAGGAATCCATTTGACACCCTCCAGGGGGCACCCAGCTCTGTGCCAGCAACAGGAGTGGGGGGAATAGAACAAAGAAGACCTGCCTCCGCAGCCTTAAGTCTCACCTTGAGAGAATCGGCAGCTGAGAGAGCGTGAATCAGCCTCTAAATCTAAAGCAGAGTCGGGACGCTGTGGTCAGCAGGGAGCTCCTTAAAGGAGGGCACTCTGGTGGCCCTGCCTGGCGGTGGGCAGGAGTCAAGCACAGTGAGGTTGGAGGAGATGGGTGTGCAGGGAGGGCTGTCCCGCATCTGATCACACCGGCCTCGCAGATAGGCTGGAGGCTCCATGCACCTACTCAGACCACCTCCCGCTAGACCCTCTCCCTTCTGCTCCGGCAGAGGCCATCAGCAAGGGGTCGACGGGAGATTGCCTGCAGGAATATCGAGCTCGAGGCACCCTAGAGCCAAGGAGGGTGGGTTTCCCAGCCGCGTGGCTTCCCCTTGGTCCTGGCCTTGGGGAGACGTTTGCCACTGCTGCTGCAGCCGCTGGCCAGCGTCTGACTCCTGCGTTCATGTGCTCTGCAGGGCGGTGCGAGATGACCAGCTCTATGCACCAGGCCCTGTGCTAGGCCGAGGGGTGCCCTCTGCAGGTCCCAACCTAATGGGGAGACAGACAAAGAGCAAGCCATTGGTAGGAGCTTTGTGGGTTTTTCCAAATGAAAAAGGCCTTGGAGAGGAAAATTCCCCGGGACGAAGCCTCCCAGCACTGCTTTCTCCAGGAACACAGGGCGTGCATTTTGAATGGTGGACAGAAGGCTCATCCAAATCTGGCCTGCCGACTCGGTGCCTACTTGCATAGACAAGACTGACTTATGTTCTCCTGGCAAAGGCCCCTGGCAGGGCCTTGGGGATGTCCTGTCACCAAAGAACATGCCAGATCCCTATGCAAACCCTGCATGGTGCAGCACGTGCTATCCCCGGCAGCTCCTCCGTCCCCGCTCCCAGGTGACACCATGGAGCAGGCTCACACTGGCCTTTGCGGAGTGGTCCAGTCTGACCCCAGGACCCCTCTGTGTACCCCAGGGCCAGGAGCTCTGAAAAAGTGCCCATGAGTCGGGCCGGGTGAGGCGGGCAGCTGGTCTTCCCATGCCCCTGATGCCTCTCCTTTTGATGGAGGAAGAGCCTGGGATGGGGCTTCATGGGAATTGCTTAGCAGAGAAATAATGTCACCTTCTCTCCTCAGAAGGTGGCCCAGGGTCAAGCAAGTTCATCATAAAGTTCCTGGGCTGAGCCCCACCCCCTCCACCTCTTAGCAACGGGGATCACCGGGGCAGGGGCTTGGCCAGGATGGGGCAGCCTCCCTCTCCCATTCACAGGGTGTTGTCAGTTTTTAGAAATCATGTAGGAGGCTGGGCGTGGTGGCTCACGCCTGTAATCCCAGCACTTTGGGAGGCCGAGGTGGGCAGATCATGGGGTCAAGAGATCGAGAACATCCTGGTCAACACGGTGAAACCCCGTCTCTACTAAAAATACAAAAATTAGCTGGGCGTGGTGGTGCGGACCTGTAATCCCAGCTACTCAAGAGGCTGAGGCAGAAGAATCACTTGAACCCGGGAGGCAGAGGTTGCAGTGAGCCGAGATTGCACCATTGCACTCCAGCCTGGGCAATAGAGCGAGACTCCGTCTCAAAAAAAAAAAAAAAAATTGTGTAGGCAGGTCTGGATTTCTGGATTCTCTTTAGAAATTACAAGATGTGGTACAGAGATCTGGCCACTCAGCATGCACGTTCCCACGTGGCAGTGAGAAGCTGTGCCAGAGCTGGGTCCCTGGTGGGCACAGCAGGTGTTCGGCCCCCACTGGCCTGGTTCACTCATCCCGCCTGCCTTGGAAAGTGCCCGGGGTTGCCATGCCTTTACTCTAAAGATGGTTTGTTTTTGATGTCCTTATTCGCTCCAATATTAGCTCATGTGCCCCCGAATCTGCAAAAGTGAAGGGAGAGCGCTGTCAGCTGCAGAGTGTGCCCCGATGCCTCCTCCCCTGGCTTGTGGCCAAGTCCCAGGCCCATGGCAGACCCCATGTTAGGCAAATCCCACGTGGTCCCCGAGATCAAGGGGCCCACAGCCAGAGGGGGGACAGACAAGTCGCCCTGTTCTGTGCCCATGTGGCTCATCTCTACTGAGCATCCCCAGGGCTGATGGCCGGGACCCAGGGGCACGCTTTACCTGGGTGGTCAGCCAAGCCCCCTCGAAGGAGAGACCAGTCAGGAGTCCTTCATGCTCTTCGGGTAGAGGGTGAGTGAGGGCTGTTCCTGGCAGAGAGTGGTGACATGCAAACGGACAGTATAAGAGCCATGGACACTGGTTAAGCAGCTCCCGGTGCGGCCAGCCCCGTGCCACCCGCTAGAGACCATGATGGCTCAGGTACGGCTCTCAGGGATCCCAGAATGCAGGATGCAGAGGACACAGGCGGACTCCAGTCCTCTGCTGACACAGACTCTGCACGACGGTGTGCAGGCCCTGTTGGTGGGGCTGGGGATGGCGTAGTTTCACGCAGCTTGTATCTTAGCAGGGAGAAGGGTGACACATCGGCCTAACTAGAAAGGCCTGCAGAGGGTGCCGAGCGCTGGAAGGGAAGCGGGCCCAGTGGATGGACAGGGGCAGGTCAGGCTCCCCGTCTGGTGAACTGTCTCCAGTCACAGTCAGCCTCCAGTGGCAGCTGCCCTCAGGGTTTCTGAGGACGCAGCACCGGGCAGTCTCCCCTGGCACCGTGGCCACACCCACCCTCCACAGCAGTGGTCCCGCGGGCACTGTGGGGCCTGATGTGCTGCCGGAATCTGACCTACCCTCTCCTTGGCTGGATGCATGGTGCTGGCTCCTGCCCGGCCCACTGGCTCTGCCTGTGCTCTGCCTCGGCCTGCACCCCGCACCAGCCCCGTCACCCATTCGGTTTTCATTCCAGAGCCCTCCACGGCATGCCCCCGGCCCGAGTAGACGCATGCTTCCCACCCCTCACTGCCTCCAGGACTAATTCTGTCTGTATTTTCTTTCCTCCCCCGGCCCCCACTTCATGCTGACCACACACTGTCTTTCCCGCGCCTGTTCTTGGCACGCCACCCCCGTAAGGACTGCACTGAGCATAGGACCTCTGAAGGCACTTTCTGGGAGCCCGAGTTTCCCCACCAGCCCCACAGGAAGAGACTTTTCAGTATCCCCGAAGTAGCGGAAGAGGATGGAGAGTGCTGCGGGCTGCTGCACAAACAGGGTGCAGGGCCGTCCCCCAGGGCCAGGACGGGGCTGGCCAGAGAGCCCAGGCCCGGCCGGCCCTGCAGGGGCGATGAGGCCCCTCGGGGCTCCTGGTTCCCGGCGAAGCACAGGGGCTCGGGGGCCGTCCCCCACGCGGAGGATTTCCTTCTGGAAGACAGGGGCTGTCGGTTCAGCCGCTCGGCCACCCGGAGCCCGGACAGCGGCCTGGACTGTGGGAGTGAAGAGGAGGAGTCACGGTTTGGCTTTGGAAACACCGTGGCCACGTGCAGCCCAGGCCCTGGCCACTGTCCCTGCAGGAGGGGCCTGAGGCCGCTGCTGGCCCGGCGGCGGACGCTGACCCGGCAGAGCAGCGTCGAGGAGGACTTTGGGGAGCAGGTGGGCCCCGGTGGCATCCTCAGGAACGACGACCCCCAGCCCAGCCCGGAGAGGCCGCTCCCCAGGAAGCACGGCTGGGGCGAGCCCGCCGAGCACCAAGATTTTCGGGGTGTCTGGAAGAAAAGCGTAACCATGCCCGACAGTAGGGCAGCTGCCCCCCACGCAAAGCCACCTCCCAGAGTTGCACAAGGCCCCCTGGTGTGTGACCTAAACTTCCTTTCCACAGCCACTTGCCAAACCAATCTGTTCCATTCTTTCATTGGTTTTCTGTTTGTCCTGGTGTCCATCCCTGGGGACGCTCTTGCCGGCTGTCTTCATTTTCCCTGCATTTTTGCTTTCTCAAGTCCCATTTGCTTCCCAACCTTTTGACCATGCTGAAGATTTCTTTACTTTGCTTAGAGTGATGATTTCCACCCCCCAGAATCAGTAATGAGTATGGCTGCTTGAATTAAAGGACAACTGAATCTAAATTTTAATTAAGGGTTAGCTGAAGTGCGATTCTCTGAAAGTCTGGCAACATGTTTGTGTGCACAGCGATCCTTAGGGATTTATTTATGACGACTAGGATTGTCGAGGGGTTTTTTTTCCTTGTTATTTTGGAGTTTTTTTCATTGCTTTTTGACCTTCATCCATAACCAAAAAAAAAAGAACAATGATTGAAGAAATCTATTTTTTTTTTTTTTTTTTTTTTTTTGCGTATTGTTTCCAAAGTTTTTGTTTTCTTCTCATTTGTTTTCTCTGCCCACGGTTTCCAGAACGCACTTTCCATGATCAGCCTTCTCCCCGCCGGCCCAGCCGTCTGGGCTTGTTGTTGGTGTTGAGCGTAGGGATTCATTGAAGGCTTCATTCATCTCTATATTGTGTCCTCTTTTCAGAACATTTGCTCCTGTCATGCTGACCTTTTCATTGAAAACACAGGTGAGCCATCCACATGGCGCCAGGCCTTGGGTCTGAGGCCGTGTGCTTGCGATGGGCCCACCCGGGAGAGGTGCGAGATCCGTACCTCGGCGACTCAGCTGCCCACCGCAGCCCGCGGCCCCCCGGCCCCACCGCAGGCTCTGCAGCAGGCATACCTCATCCCCAGACTCCCTGCCCGCCGTTCACGCCTGTGTTCCTGAGAACTTCCTCACTCCATTTACTTACTAGCAAGAAGAAGGTGTTGCTGTGATTGTCTTTAGTCAATCCTAACCCTGATCTAAAGGTGAATTTAGAGGTGAACTTAGCCAGGAAGGCGACTGGTCTAAGTCCTGGAATGTTACCAGCATCTTCAGATTAGGAGTAGAATGTTGAGTTTTGAAGCTGATAAAATGTAGAAACTTCCGTCTTTGTGTGTGAGAAACCTCACACACAACTTTTATCCAAGCAGGACAGGTGGAACTGCAGTGTCTTCCCCACTTTTGTGACAGCTGGGAGGGGGCATGTGGAGACTAGGAGGGGCTCAAGTGCTCCAAGGAGCCAAGGTGGGGCGAGATGTATTCAAGCCATTGTCTCTTTGGTCCAAAACATTTGTCTTCAGCACCAGCAGCAGCAACCAAGAGACCCCCTACGAGGAATTTTTTGCCCTCACCCCACCATGCGCCCAGCAGCGGCTCCGAGTAGAGAGTGGGTGCTGGTGCACGGCTTTGTTCTCTCCCAGGCCATTCAGCTAACCTTTCAGTTAAAAGCTAAGTTTAGTTGCCTTTAGAGATTCTGCTTCTCAACCCACTTGATTTGGCTAACTGAATTCTTCAGCTCCCAGTGCTGGCGAGACTTATGACTTTGCTGTTGTTTTGTCTTCAGATTTTAGGGAACCCAGCCTCTGCAGGACGGGTGGATCACATGGGTCGGAGGTTTCCCCGCGGCAGCGCTGGTCCTCAGAGGTCCCGGCCCGTGACAGTCCCATCCATCGGTTAGTGGCTCCATCGCTGCTGTTCTGTCTTCCAGCTGCGGAGCATGTGGCTGCTTACTCCATCTCAGCATGAACACAATTTTAGGAGTAGCATTTTCAGCTAAGCACAGAACCCTCTGTTATTTATGGCAAAAAAGAAGGCAGGAACAGCACAAGATAAATGAAAGCTATTTGTAAGTATTCTTGAAATATCAAATTGGCCTTCTACATCCATGTTCTCCCCGCTGATTTGTTCCTGGAGAGTTTCACAGGGTAAGCACTGAAGGGACCACTTGTGTTGCCTCCCTCGTCCTGGCACGGGCTCCCTGGGACACTCAGGGTCAGAGCCCGTGGCAGGTGCAGAAGCTGGATGTCAGCGTGCCTCGGGGGTCCGTGAGCCCTGCCAGAGGGAACGCTGTCTGTCTGCAGAAGACACACTGGCAGCAGAGCTAAGTCCTGGGGGACACCGTGCAGCTGTGTGTGCCCCTGAAGTGCGTGCTCCCCACATCCATCTGGGCACCTCCCCTGCTCATGAGTCATCATCAGGCATTCTGTTTCCATTCTCTTCCTGACATTCTGGAATTCAGCCAGCCATGCTGAAAGCTATCGTTTTAGCCATCCTCATCAATCCGCAGAGGGGGATACTTCTATTATTGGAATCAATCATGGCAAGGAGAATTCCAAAAAGTATTATGCATAAGATAATGGAAGCTGGTCATCAGCACAGAGGAACCAGGCTTCTATGAAAACACACACACACACACACACACACACACACACACACATGCAAGGAGAACTCCTGATACTACAGAAGTAGATGAGGAGAAACCGTCTTGGTTTGGCATGACAGGGCTCAGGGAGGATAACTTCTGGATTGTCTAGGCCCCTGAAAAGCCACCTGGAATCTCACTGAAATAGCTGAAGTTTAAAAGGCAACTGGTCTTCTTTTCTGTCAACTCAAAATGAAGACAGGCTTCATGAAGCAAACAGATTTTTTAAATTGTGTCCTGCCAGACTTTTTCTTCCTTGTACAATTCAAACAGTAAGAAAAAAAAAAATTTCCTTTTCCATCTTTACAGTTTTTAGATTGTTTTTATCTTTAACCAGTAAAAATTCCATGCAGTGTTAAAGATCCGCAGGCAACAGTATTTTCAGTTAACTGAATAATAAAAGATGCAGTCAGGATCAGAGAACCTTGATGGTCGTACTACAGATCAACTAGCAGGGTTAGTGGAGCCCAGATTCCTTTCGGGTATTCTAAACCTACTGCGTGTCTCTCAAATCTTCATTCACTTTGTGTCCCTCCGGAGGAACTACGGAGCTTAATAAATAGGTTCTCCTGGCTTTCGTGTTAAATGGCCTGTCTGAGATGTCCTGTCTTGAGAAACGAGGTGGGGAAAAGGCCACTCCTCCTGTTCAAGGCTCTCTTTCTCTCTCTCTGGTGAGGGTGAGTTTTCAAGTCTTCACGTGATGGTAACTTTAATGAGTGAAATGACTTGGTGATGGGGTAGCCACTGACAAGTTAATGCTGTGGCCATTCAGAAAGGACGTCCTTTGGAAGAGGCATGCTGGGTCTTCTCTTCCAATCTCCTAGGACTGAGAACTGAAAATTGGGCTGTGACAAATCAGCACTTGAGCCAGGAAGTCCAAGAAAACCAATCCTGGGCCTGCAGTCTTGCCAGGGTGACCCTCGCTGTCAGAGTCGCAGGCGACAATTTGGCTGGATTTTTCTGCAGCTGTGGAGTTCCAAAGGCTGCATATGTGTCTTAATTTCAGGAGGACACTTGTTAAATTGGGCGAAAGAGCAAATCTATGTCAACACCTTAACAAGGAAAAATCCTCTGAACATAACTCGGAAAAGAGTTAACTGACAAACCTATGAAAGGTTTGCTTTAATTGTGCTGATTTCTTATCACGTAGCCAGCCAGGAAACCACGTAAAAATAACGAAAACCAGACACTTTATACACAAACACACATCTCAGCACCTATGATGGCTTCAAAAGGAAACAGAAGTGGTGGGTGCTTATCACCCACCTGAGGAGGCGGCCCTGGCAAAGAGCCTTGGGAAATGAACACACTGACAGCTGAACAGACAGGATGCTCCTCTAGTTCTCATTTACTTAATTGTATTTTTCTTGTGAAAATATTAGAGAACAATATTTTAGAAATCTGCTACATTTCAAAAGCATTACTTTTCTTTTTCAGAGGAAATTAAGTCTGTAAACCATATACTTCCTATTTTTAATAAGCAGTGGACCTACAACAAAAAATAATATAATAGGTTCTCTGGATTTCCAAAATTAAAAAAATGTCTTTCATGATTAAACAAAATTATGTAGCTTCCTATCTAATAAATTCTAAACCATACAATTAGCATAAAGAGGTCTCGACGCTGATAGATGTCTTCATATATATATTTAATTAGGTTTGGTTTTATCCTTTATAATTTTTGGTCTTTGCATTTATCTAGTTGTTGACCTGTCAGACAGAAGGCCTGCAGATTCACCCTTCTAAAACCAAAGCACTATGTTTAAGAGGATTCTATTCTTAGGAATCAACTCTGAATATCTCCTCTGTAGTCTCCCATTTTTTTTGTTATTTGTTATTTTGGCTACTGAGCCTACAAAGTGAGGAAAGTACAGCACATTTTCTTCGTGTTCAGGGAGGAAAAATAAATTAACTCTATTGACAAAGCTTTGCCCCTTAAAAAGGAGAGCCCTTTTCTTAAGGTTTCCCTGCAAGAAAAAAAAAAAAAAATCAAAAGCTGTCAACTCCGTTTAATAGATGATTCCCTTTATCTCCACAGAAATTACAATGGACAGTAGCAGGGAGGGCGGTCGATCTGGGCCAGGTAGTGAGGGAAACCTCTCTCCTGTAGAAAACGGTGCTTATTCTCACGGCACCGGTGGCTTTGGGAGGCCACCCAGGCGGCCAGGCATGAGCCCTGATCTCCCACATGATATGCACACCCTTTCTCCTAGCAGACCCCTTGGGCCAGCACGCTTCCTCAGCAGGACAGGAGGCAGTGCCCACTCCCCCCAGGGTCAGACGGACAGCTGCAGGTAAGTGCTGCTTTCAGTCTCGCCTGCCACCACCAAGGACAAGGGACCCCCAATGGCCCAGTCCAGCCTGCAGTGAAGCCAAGTTTCCACAGACACATTCCAGGGAGGCCGCTGCTCTCTCCCTGTCGAGGTCCGGTGCTCATAACACATCCAGTGCATCCTCTCTGGAGGAGCGGACGGTGGAGTCACCACAAACACATGACTTTATTCACATACGTTCAACTCCAAGTGCTCCGCCCACCTCTACCCCACACCTGTCTTCCCCCCACACAACGTGACACTGGGCAGTTCTCTGAAAGGAGCCTTCGTCGGGGGACTGGCCTCAGGCAGCTCTGTGTTGGGGTGTCTGCCTAGATGCCTCCCGTGGTGTGGCCAGTTGCATGGTGCATGTGAGTTTGGACTTGAAGACAAAACGATGTGTTTTTGCAGATCATGGTCCTTGACCATAAGCCACTTACTGAGAAAATGCACTCTTCCCTAGGCTCTAGGAGGGACTGGAAAGATTTTCAAGGGGGATGTCGACCACCCCCAACTCTCTCTAGGCTCTGACCATAGCCCCTCACCCCTCTGCACATTTTGAGGCCACAAACTTGCCACATAAACTCAGCTGGAAAGTGCTGAGAACTTGCTTGGAAAATGCTGTAGCCAGAGGTTCTCCTCCACCGGCATTTTTCCGTACCTGGAACTGCATTCACTAGATCACACTGACATGGTCATTAAGTTCCTCCAGCAGAATGGAAAGCACATCCTTCTCGCGCAGCCACAGCTGTTCTCCACCATCATCCCTGGGTGCGAGAAAGGGCTGCACAGTTGTGCCCGCTGTAGAGGCCACGGAACGCTTCACATTCTGTTGAACTCGGATACCACCTGAAACCAGAAAAAACGTCATCAGGTTTTTTCACTGACTATCGACAAAATCACAATAGCATGGAGAAATTAATGAAGACTGCTGTGGAAAAGTTTTGTTCCCTGGCAGAAATTACATTTTAGATTAGGCATTCAAAAAAGACTCTACATCTCAATAATGTAAACAATTTATTACGTTTTAAAATTCAACGTTTCCTGCAGCCAAAACGCTTTTTGTTTTTAGACTACATGTTTTGTTTTTTTCTGGTGAAAGAGGCTGATCCGTTTGGTTCTTTCTCTACCACCTGTCCTGCCTTTTCCACATACCTGTGTCCTCTCGTCCCACCACCTGTGTTCCTCGTGCTGGGACCGAAGCTCCCGCTAGGCTGCCTCTCCCAATCCTGCGCTTTCTGCTGCCAGCTGGCGTCATTCTCACTCGCTTCCATGACGGTGTTCTGAGACCACCTCCCAGGATCAGACCAATATTATCTGTCGGTTCCCTCTCCCCCGCCTTCTCTCTCCATACATATATGCACACATATATCTAATGATGTTCAGTGATACATATGTATATATATGCATATGTATTAGGATTTCCAAAATAATTGTTTTGACTTTTTAGAATCAACTTTCAACTTTTATTTTGGATTCACCGGGGTACATGTGCAGGTCTGTTACATGGGTATAGTGAAGAGTGCTGAGCTGTGGGGTACAAATGATGCCATCATTCAGATAGTATAGCACCCTGTCAGGAATTTCTCAGCCCTTGCCCCCTCCCTCCTCCACCGTCTAGTGGTCCCCAGTTTCTGTTGTTCCCATCTTCGTGTCTATGTGGACCCAATGTTTAGCTCCCACTTGTAAGTGAGAACATGAGGTATTTGGTGCTCTGTTCTTGTGTTAATTTGCTTAGGATGATGGCCTCCAGTGGCTGCAGGCGACATGATTTTGTTCATTTCTCTGGCTGCGTAGTATTCCATGTGGTATATGCACCACATCTTTATTCAGTCCACTGTTGATGGGCATCTAGGTTGATTCCATGTCCCTGCTACTATGAACAGTGCTGCGATCACCATATTGAGTGCCTGTGTCTTTTTGGTGAAACGACTTCTTTTCCTTTGGGTATATACCCAGTAATGGCACTGCTGGGTCAAATGGTAGTTCCGTTTTAAGTTCTCCAAGAAATCTCCAAACTGCTTTCCACGGTGGCTGAACTAATTTCCATTCCCTCCAATGGCATATACGTTTGTAAGTGTTTCTTTTCTTTGCAGCCATCCCAACGTCTATGTTTTGACTTTTTAATTGTCATTCTGAATGGTGTGAGATGGTCTTCCATCGTGATTTTGTTCTGGATTTCTCTGATTAGTGATGTGGAGCATTTTTTCATAGGTTTATCATCTGCGTGCATGTCGTCTTTTGAGACGTCTATTCATGTCCTCAGCTCTTTCTGATGGAGTCATTTTTTGCTTATTGATCTGTTAAGTTCCTTGCAGATTCTGGACACTAGACCTTTATCAGATGCACAATTTGCAAATATTTTCTCCCATTCTGTAGGGTGTCATTTACTCTCTTGATAGTTTCTCTTGCTGTGCAGAAGTTCTGTAATTAGGCCATGCATGTTAATTTTTGTTTGTGTTGCAATTGTTTTTGTGGTCTTTGCCATACATTCTTTGTCAAGGCTGATGTCCAGAATGGCATTTCCTAGGTTTCCTTGCAGTATTTGTATAGTTTGAGGTCTTACGTTTAAATCTTTGATCCATCTTGAGTTAATGTTTGTATATGGTAAAAGGTAGGAGTCCAGTTTCAATCTTCTGCATGTGACTAGCCAGTTATCCCAGCAGCATTTATTGAATGGGGAGTTCTTTCCCCATTGCTTATTTTTCTCAACTTTGTCAAAGATCAGATGTTTGTAGGCATGTGGTTTTAGTTCTGGTTCTCTAGTCTGTTCCATTAGTCTGTGTGTCTGTTTTTGTACCAGTGCCACACTATTATAGTGACTGTAGCCTTATAGTATAGTTTGAAGTCAGGTAATGTGATACCTCCATTTGTTCTTTTTGCTTAAGTTTACTTCAGCTATTTGGGCTCTTTTTTGGTTCCATATGAATTTTAGAGTAGTTTTTCCTAATTCTATGTAAAATGATGATGGAATTTTGATAGAAATAGCATTGAATCGTATACATACATAACAAACCTGCACATTGTGCACATGTACCCTAGAACTTAAAGTATAATAATAATTTAAAAAATCGCACTGAGTCTGTAGGTTGCATTGGGCAATATGGCTACTTTAATGATATTTATTCTTCTAACCCATGAGCATGGAGTATTTCAGCATTCATGTCATCTATGACTTCTCTCAGCAGTGTTCTGTAGTTCTCCTTGTAGAGATCTTTCACCTCCTTGGTTAGATATATTCTGTGTGTCTTAGTTAGATGTAATCTGTATATTTTGTGTGTGTGTGTGTGTGTGTGTGTGTGTGGCTATTGTCAAGGTGATTGCATTCTTGATTTGGCTCTCAGTTTGAACAATTTATTGGTGTATAGAAATGCTACTGATTTTTATACATTGATTTTGTACCCTGAAATTTTATTGAAATTGTCTATTGGTTTAGGAGCCTTTTAGCAGAATCTTCAGGGTTTTCTAGGTTTAGAATTGTATCATCAGTGAAGAGAGGTAAGTTGACTTCTTATTTCCTATTTGGATGCCTTTTCTTTCTTTCTCTTGCCTGACTGCTCTGGCTAGCACTCCAGTGTTGAACAGGAAGGGTGAGAGCAGGCATCCTTCAGTGTTGAACAGGAAGGGCAAGAGCAGGCATCCTTGCCTTGCTCCAGTTCTTAAGGTGAATGCTGCCAGCCTTTGCCTGTTCAATATGATATTGGCTGTGGGTTTGTCATAGATGCCTCCTACTATTTTGAGGTACATCTTTCAATGCCTAGATTGTTGAGGGTTTTTTTACTCATGAAGGGATGTTGAATTTTATTGCAAGCTTTTTCTGCACTATTGGGATAATCATATGGTTTTTGTTTTAGTCCTGTTTATGCGGTGAATCATATTTATTGATTTGCATATGTTGAACCAATCTTGCATTTGAGGGATAAAGCCTACTTGGTCATGGTGAATTGTCTTTTTGATGTGCTGCTGGATTCAGTTTGCTGGTATTTTGTTGAGGATTTTTGCATCTGTGTTCATCAGGGATATTAGTCTGTGGTTTTCTCTTGTTGTGTCTGTCAGATTTGGGTATCAGGGTGATGTTGGCTTCATAGAATGAGTTAGGGCGGAGTCCTTCCTCCTCAATTTTTTGGAATAGTTTCAGTAGAATTGGTACCAGTTCTTCTTTGTATGTTGGTAGAATTCAGCAGTGAATTCATTTCATTACTATTGGTCTATTCAGGGTTTCAATTTCTTCCTGATTCAATCCTGGGAGGTTGGGTGTGTCTAGGAATGTGTCCATTTCCTCTAGTCCAAAAGAACCACTTTTAGAAGCTGGGTGGTATATGGAGCTGAAACCCAGTTCACCAGGAAATTATTAATTCACTGTAATAAAGATGTGTTTGTTGCCAGTTACGTCTTTACCTAAGTGAACAGTTGGTCACCTCCACGGACTTTGATTAACATACAAATGTATTTTAAACGTGGGTGGTGCTTAGCTTTCCATTTTGCAGAGCGTGTGGGTCCTGGGAAGGCTCCCCAGCACAGGCCATCCTGCCCCTGGCACTGCGGCAGCTCCTGCCCCAGCCTGAGCTCTCTGGGGAGGCCTCCGAAGCCCAGGCCCGTCTCAAGTGCCTTCACATGCAGTGTGGCAGGTACAGAGTGTGGGTGTAGTTATGTGCTTCTCCAGTTCATCTGAGCTAGACCTCCTGATCTATTTCTGCCGACATGTTAAGACACAAAAAAGACGAAAGTCAAGGAACTGCTGCCATCCTCACTGCTTTCCAAAGCTGCATTTCCTGTGCGCACTCCTCAGTTAGGCTCACTGCCGCTCTGTTCTTCACCCCCACTTGCTCTCAGACGATTACGGGCGAGACCGCCTTTCTCCAGACTTCTATGAAGAGTCGGAAACTGACCCTGGTGCCGAAGAGCTCCCGGCCCGGATCTTTGTGGCTCTCTTTGACTACGACCCGCTCACCATGTCCCCAAACCCAGATGCTGCAGAGGAGGAGCTCCCCTTTAAAGAAGGCCAGATCATCAAGGTGCGGGACGGCTGCCTGGGGCAGCTTCAACAGCCCCTGAGGCGGGTCTGGGTCGCGGGGGCGGAGACTGGTAACTCAGAGATACAACTGCCCCTGCAGATCATGGGTGGGACACATCAGCCGCCTTCTCCTGCAGGCTGTGGGCGAGGCACGGGGAGCCGGGCACAGGAGGAGGTGGCATGGTGCTGTGACGGCCAGGGACCTGCCCTCTGCAGAGTGCCTTCTCCAGCGTCTGCCCGGTTTGTGTGCACACAAACACCCAAATGTGTCCTGTGAACTCTGGATTCTATTAGGGCCTATGTTGTTGAGAAAAATATACAGGCTCCAAATTTTAAAACACTTGTCAGTCAACAGGCAGGCAGGGAAGAAAGGAAGGAGGGAGTAAAAGGGAGGGAAAAAGGCAAGAAGGGAGCATCAGTAGCTAGAGGCTGGAGTTCCACGCCTTAGTTCTTTAATACGCCTGACGGAGGCTGTTTCCTATTCCTTTGATAGCCAGCCGTCTTTTTTTTTTTTTTTTTTTTTTTTTTTTTGAGACAGAGTCTTGCTCTGTCACCCAGGCTGGAGTACAGTGGCACCATCTCGGCTCACTGCAACCTCTGCTTCCCGGGTTCAAGTGATTCTCCTGCCTTAGCCTCCCGAGTAGCTGGGACCACAGATGCACGCCATCACACCCAGCTAATTTATTTTTGTATTTTTAGTAGAGACAGGGATTCACCATGATGGCCAGGCTGGTCCCGAACTCCTGACCTCAAGGGATCTGCCCGCCTTGGCCTCCCACAGTGCTGGGGTTACAGGCCGTGAGATCCAGCCTTCTGAGAGAAGAGGCGCCTTGTGAGTTTTAAGGAGGGAAAATGAGAGACAGCGTGCTGTTCAGTAGGAGAGGGGCAAGACAGAGGGCCTTGAACCCTGTTTGCAGTTTCATCAAGGGTCCTGACGGTTGGCATCTGAGAACGGTCGGAATGCCTGCTGGGTGGCACTATCTTGCTACGTAGGAACCCATTTCAGGCAGACAGCAACACCGCTTTGTGCAGCCTACCTGGTCCTTCTTGGTCGAGTGGGGTCTCATCACGCACCCTTTTAATGTGCGTGAATTTAAATACATGCATTCATCCAAGCAAACCCCCTGCCTAATGAGAAGAATGGCAGGTTGTCCAAACGCTAGATGAAAAACCGGCTCGAGTCCGTCATAGAGCGAGGGTTACATGTACACATCTATGGCACACACGTGGGTGACCTACGCAGGTGATTTATGGTATTTTAAAACCATATTTAAAATATATTTTCGACTAGACTCACTTACCGTCAGTGGGACTACTGTATTTCTGAACCAATCAATTACAATGCTTGATTTATTTTTCCCCACGACTCTAGGTTTATGGTGATAAAGACGCTGATGGATTCTACCGTGGAGAAACCTGTGCCCGGCTTGGCCTTATTCCTTGTAACATGGTCTCTGAAATACAAGCAGATGACGAGGAGATGATGGATCAGCTTCTCAGACAGGGCTTTCTCCCTCTGAATACACCTGTGGAGAAAATAGGTAAGCGTAAACCCCTCTTTGACCTTTCCTGTGCGTTTTATCGCACAAAACGCCTGCTGCTCAGAGAGGCAAGTGGTGATGAGGGGACCCCAAGTTGCATCATTTAAATACGCCAAAGTCATGTAAATGTTGACCAGTGATTTTTCTTGGGCAAAAGCCACTCTCCAAACCAGGACTGCCAGTAGTCTCCTGCGTGCTTTAGGGACACACGTACATAAATGTGAAGACACAGATGATCTAATGGGCGATGAAGTACAGTCTTGCTTGCAAAAACTTTATCACACCCAGAAAACACATGATTAGCTGCCTTCTGGTAATACGGTGTGAACATCAGCCTGTCTACAATAAATTTCAGTGGGTGGTCAGGGGAGCGCTGTGCCTTTCATTCTTTAGGTGACCTTTGCTTATCCAAGAGGCACAAAAGCTTTTTTCTCTTTAGTTTGGGTAGACATGAAACTCCTTCATTTATCTTAAGCCAGTCTGCAAGCACCCGTGAGAATGCAGCAAAACTATTTTCAGTGATTTTTAAGCAACATTACATTTATGAGTTTTAAATTTTTTTCCATGTACAATGACAATGTATTCATTTAAAAAGCCTCTATTGTCTCAAAAAAAGCCTCTATTTTTTCTAAAACGCAGTAGAGAGATATCAGTTTTATAGCATTCATATTTAAGGTTTAATACTTCAAAACTTGATTAACTTCTAAATCAGACTTCAAAGACAAAATTCAGTGCTTCAAACACTATACATAGTTTTAAGGATAATCACAAAATCAAAACATTTCAACCTTTTTTGGCATTAATAAGCGCATCATCTCAAGATAGAATCCACATCTAATAGTCAAGGTTTAGTGTGAATATATCGCCCACATTAAATCCATGAGATTGAAGATCTTTGAGCCCTTTATCCCCCTATCCACTTTTGTTAAGATCTTCTTTCCCGAAGTGGACTAAGACTGTTTCGAAGAGAATACAGGCCCTGTACACCACAGACCCAGAAAGTATACAAGAATTTCTTTTAAGGAATGGTAACTTGATTTATATTATCAATTAGATTAAATGTTTTTTATTCTATTTTTTTTAATGTGGATGGCCAAGGGAACCTAGCCTGATATATCTACGTGTCCCCCACCCCGCCCCACCCCCGCCATCGCCAGAAACTATCATCCTTAATGGTGAAATGCTGAATGCGATCCTCCTAAGACTGGGCACAGACAAGGACTTTGGCCCTCACCACTCCTTTTGCACATCATACTGGGGGTCATAACCAGGGCGACATGGTGAAGGAAAGTCACACCTGGTGTACAGACTGGAAGGGAAGGAATACAACTTTTTCTATTCACAGATGACATGGAAATCTACTTAGAAAATCTCAAGCAATCTCAAAGAATAAAAAAGTTCCTAGAACTAACAAATGGAGTGTAGCAACCTCCACGGATACAAGGTCAATATACAAAAATCAGTTGTATTTCCATATGTGAGAAGTGAAAATTTAGAAATTAGAATTTTTAAAAGTAGTGCCAATTACAATGACACAACAAAACATGAACTACTTAGCATGAAATCTAACAAAACATGTGCAGTATTTGTATGACGAAAACCAGAAGACACTGAGGAAAGAAATCAGATACCTAAATAAATGGACAGAGAGACCATATTCATGGACTTAACATTGTTATGTCAGCTGTCCACAAGGTAGCCTACAGATGCAGTGCAAGACCATTCAAAATCTGTGCCGGGATTTATATAGACTCAACAAGCTAATTCTAAAATGTATATGGAGAGGCAAAGGAACTGGAATAGCCAAAACTGTTTTCAACAAGAACAAGAAGGTTGGAAGTTCACGTAAGCTAATGGAAGCTTACTACTGTAGAGGTAAGCTAATTGAGGTAACGTGGTGTTGGAGAAAGGATAGAAATGTAGATTAATGGGGCAGAATGAAGTCCAGAAACAGACCAATACATATGGAGTCCACTGATTTTGGACAAAGGTAAAAAGGCAATTCAATGGAGAAAGGGTGCTCTTTTCAATAACTGGCGCTGGCATTACTGCACATCCATATGCCAAAAATGAATCTTAACCCATACTCTCACCATATTAGAAACTTCAATAAAAATGGATCATGCTTTTAAGTATAAAAATTAAGACTCTAATACTTCCAGAAGAAAACGCAGGAGAAAACTTTATAATAATCAGGCAACGATTTCTTTGATAGGACATGAAAACACGATCCATAAAAGGAAAAAGTCAGTGTTAGGCTTCACCAAAATTAAATACTCTGCACTGGAAAAGTGCAGAATAAAAAGACAGCCACAAGCTGGCAGAAAATACTTACAAGTAGCCCACTGGAAAAAGGACTTGCGTTCAGAATACACAGAGACTTTTCAAAACTCATCAGTAAGGAAACAATCCAATAAAAATATGTATAAAATATTTAAGTGACCTTTTACCAAAGATGATATGTGGGTGGCAAATAAGCACATGAAAAGATGCTTAACATCACCAGTGAAATACGAATTAAAACCACCCTGAGAAACCAATGCACACACACTTAGAATGGCTAAGATTAAAACGACTGGCCGTCGCAGGGGTGGGCACAAAGTGTGCCAGGTGAGCCTCTGCACTGCTGGTGAAAGTGGATAATGGCATCACCGCTCTGCAAAATAGTTTGCTGGTTTCTTGTAAAGTTATATATGCACTTACAATACAATCCAACAACTTCACTCTTATACACTTACCCAAAAGAAAGGGAAACTTACGTTCACACACACAAAAACTGTACACGAATATGTTTGATGTTTTGATGACCAACAGTCATCAAAATGTGGAAACAACTCAGGTGCCTTTAGCTGGTGACTGAGTAATGGAGTGAAGGCGCCCCACACAATGGAGCCTACTCAGTCATGGAACAGAGCCACTGCTGATACAGCCAGTGACAAGGGTGAATCTCAGAGGCATCATCCAAATGACAGAAGCCTGTCTCAAAAGCTACATTCTGCATGAGTCCCTTTCAGTGACATTCTGGAAAGGGCCAAAGTCTGGGACAGGAGACAGATCTGTGGTTACTGGGCTGAAGTGACTACAGAGGACCATGGCCGGTGTATATCTTGATTGTTGTGGGGTTTCAGGACTGTGTGTGCTTATCACAAAGTAAGGTACCGCACGCTAGAAAGAGCCTTAGTGTATGTAAGTTCTACCTCAGCGAGAAGTACATGTATGTTGTTATGCCACCTTTCCAAAGTCATACTTGTAACATTCCCTGTAACATGAAGCATGCTGCGAAACACTAACCTCTGGGTGAGGTCATAATGCAAGAAGACACACATGTGCAGATCCGACAGAGGACACGTGCACAGAGGCTTGTGTGCGTCCTGTAAACTGCAGCAGTGGCTTGTAACCAGAACCCAAGGGGAAGTAATTGCTAGAATTTTGCAGGTCTACACAAGTGGCCCCTATACCTGCTGAAAACCACTGAAAAGCCACATTGCTGACTTTAGCTGCCGTTAAGACAGTTGCCTTTGATGGTGTTCATCTGTATGTTTGGAATTCCCCAAATCAAATGTAAGCAGAAAGTAGCTGTGTTTAGAAGAAACACATAAATGCCAACTTTTGCCAGGAAGAAGGTCCTTCCCAGCCCCACACCTTCAGTCTGACAGGGGTTTCCTGGTTGGGCCAGGTCCTGCGGCTCTCCACTGAGGCCTCCTTACGTCCTGAGAGTGTTCACCTGTTATCTGTGTGGAGCGCTCACGCTGGGCAGAGCCTAGGGCAATTCCTCTGCAGCCCCTTATGCTTCTGAGTGTGCTGGGATGACGCCCAGGCCCCCATCTGTGGCAGAGACAGAGCCAGGCCATGGGAATGCACCTCTAAGTCGACTGTGCAGAGCTGGGCTCTTCTCCATGGCCACTGCTAAACCTCAGTGGAAGGATGCCGGGGAAGCAGCATGGGGGAAGCCACAGGGCTGGGTGGAGAAGGCATCCCTGTTTATATTCATGCTTCTCCTGAGGACGGTGCCTTAGTTTTGCCTCCGCTTGGGGAGCATGACTTGATTTTGTCATGCCACCATAGTTACACAAACACGCACTTTTAAAACTGTGTCTATGGGGCTTTCCCAGAGCAATGGTCACAACCGTGCACTGTGCAGGGCCTCACGAGCTACGGCCTCCCTGTGCTGGCCAAAGCCGTCTACATTTGCTGTTTGAGAGCCCTGTGCTTCATGTGAGTCTCACTGGCTTAATGGACAGACTAGAGGAAGGAAAATGTTTATGTTACTCTAAGGGGGAGAAACCATACTACCGCAAAAATATGAGAATATGGAGTCCTGGACGACTGACCCAAAGTAGAGACGTTTGCTGGTGTGAGTGCCCAGGAGATGTGGCCCTGTTAGCGGTGCCAGGTCACAGCTGCATTGGCCTTGTGTGACACGGAAGGAGGGGGAACGCCGCTAAGTTTGAAATAACGTCATGATGGCTTTCTTCCCCCCTTGTGATTTGAACAGAGAGAAGCAGAAGAAGTGGCAGGCATCATTCAGTATCAACCCGGAGAATGGTGGCCCTGTATGACTATGACCCCAGGGAAAGCTCGCCCAACGTGGATGTTGAGGTACCAGCCAAACACTGCGCTTCGTGACGGACACAAAACCACACCCCATCCCTTCCCTTGTGGTACACCACACTGAGGCCACGTGTGTTCACCTTCTCATTCCTTCTCTCCAAACCATCCATAGGAAGGGCTGCCAACCCGAGGGATGGCTGATACAGACATGGCCACGCAGGAGAGAAATCATGGGATTCTCAGGGACACGGCCAGCCCTGACGAGCCCTGTCCCTGTGGCCCAGATTTTCCTGTGCCACGACAGAGACAGCAATCTGTCATCCACATCTAATGGTGCTGCCACCTGAGGGCCATCTTTGGGAGAGAAAGAAAAGCCCATCACATGTGGTCAGCAAACAAAAGCAAAGCAGTAGGCCCCTCACATAGAACAGAACAGT